CCCCAGGCCGGCTGCAGCTATTGTAAGGTGGAGAGAAGGGGAGGGGGGACTCAGAGAAAGGAGAGGGGTGGGGGAGGGCCACCTGTTCCAAGACCCTCTCCTAAGGCCAGACTGGACACTGGGGTGGGGCCATGAACAAATCACCCATAGGGACTATAATGACCCAGGGTATTGGGGGGAGGAAACTGGGGCTGCAGGCCTAGTGGTGGGGGGTGGGGCAAAGACCCCTCCCTCCAAAAAGACCCAGAGTGTCACGAATACACAGTGACACACACTCTCTCCTCACACCCGGCGGCAGGGGTTGCCCTGGGAGACCAGGCAGTGAAAGGGAACAATCCTTCGGGAAAGGGGAAAGAGGGGGAGGTGGGGAAGGGTCTGAGGGCTTGGACACAAGAAGAACCGGAGGTGGCAGGGAAGAGGATTTGGAATTTATTAAGGTCACAAGCACCCCTGCCTCCCATATTCAGCATTCCTGAGCCATACTCTGCCACCCCTTTTGTAGTCTGGGAACTCAGAGTCCTCATCAGCAGGAGGCCCAGCAGAGTGGTGGGGGAGTGAGCAGAGTCCAGGGTCCTTGAGGCAGTTACATGAAAAGACCTCCTAGGAGGGGCAGAAACATTTGGACAGATGCATAGGTGGAGACAAATGGGCTGGGGGGTGCCCACCCTCTTCTGTCCCTGGCCTTTAGGAACTTCTGCCCTTCCTTCAGTGGCTCCAGATTCCCCTCACTTGCTTTCACACATCATCTGGGTTCCACTTCTCTGCCCTTTCCCTCCCCAGGATGGCCTCATACCAGTGACTTCCACTGAGGCCCCGGTGATATATCCACTGTCATCAGATGCCAAGAATGCGACCACATCTGCCACATCTAGGGGAATAGTGAGGAGAGGGCAGAATCCTATTTACTCCCACAGACCCAAAGGAGCCATCTCCCACCAGAAACACCCCCTCCCCCAAAACACACACACCAACTATCAACCCTGGTGAGACCCTCTCAGATACCACAGATTTTGGGGTCTGTTCATTCAGGGCCCTCCCCAGGGCCTCCTCCTCACTCAGTGCTCACCCTCAGGGTTCCCCAAATGTCCCATCGGGATCATTCCAGTCATCTGTAAGGAAACACTCATATGTGGCTAAAAGTTTCTTTTACGGATTTTTTTTTTTTTTTTTTTGGGGGGGGGTAGATTGAGTCTGTGACCCTTTTTTCTTCTGTCTTCATTCCCTGTGCACTTATTACCTACTTCTTGCCAGGTACTGTGTCCAGCATTCTTTTGTTCTCTCAAGCCCAGAAAGGCTGGGTCTCTGTACGATTCTGCTCTCTGCCCTCCACCCATGGCCTCCTACCTTGTCCAGCACTTTCTGTGGCACTTTCTGTGTCATGGGTGTTGTAATGAGCCCTGGAAGGACAGAGTTACAGCGGATCCCATGTCTGTGGAAAGGAGAGTGGCTGCTGACTCTGGAGAAGACTGAACAATGACCCCTCCCTCAGAGCTCCCACATGCCTCAGCCAAGTCCCCTGTACCCCCAGGTGTCTAACCAACCTTCCCAGCTCCCGGGCTACAGTTTGGGTCAGCCCAATCACTCCAGCCTTGGATGCTGAGTAGTTTGTCTGTCCGATATTCCCTACCTATAGGTGAGTCAGAGATTTGGGATGAATCAGGACTCTCAAGGAGAGGCTCTCCTCTCTATGCCCTGACCTCATCCCAACTCAACCTGACCTTCCCTAGGATGCTACTGATGTTGATGATGGAGCCATGACAACCACTGGACACCAGGGCTTGGGCTGCAGCCTGTGTGACAAGAAAGGTGCCCTGGCGGAGGGGAAAGAGTAACAAGGTAGAAAGGATCAGTTGGACATCCTCCAACTCCCTTCCCAGGCTAAAGGGGCCAGAAGTCACAGGTTCAGAGGTCACCACCTTGAGGTTGACAGCTATGACTTTGTCCCAGTTATCCTCAGACATGTGGAGCAGAAACTCATCTCTGGTAATGCCCGCACAGGACACAACGACAGATGGCGGGCGAGAAAAGCGGGCCTATGGAAGAGGGAGGTTACACACCAAAAAAACCACGAAGAGCCAGGGGCGGTGGAGGCAGTGTGAGGGCTTTAAGGGGGCGAGGTCGCTCGCGGTCACCTGCACTTGTTCCAGCAGGCGCCTGGCAGCCCCGGCCTCAGACACGTCAGCCTGGAAGGCAGCGTGGGCCCCGCGGGGCGCCCCCTTCTCGCTCCCTGGCCCGCCCAGCAGCCGCACCGTCTCCTGTGCCGCTGCCGCGTCCAGGTCGCAAGCGGCCACGGCGGCCCCCTCTCGGGCCAGGCGCACGCTGACGGCTCGGCCGATGCCGCTCCCTGCACCTGCGGTGTGAGAGAAAACACGGGAGCGGGGTGCGGGGAGGAATGGACAGGGGTCAGAAGTTAACAGAGGAAAAGCGGGACCAGCGGCCAGAGGTCACAGCGGCTGCAGAGGGCGAGAGCGCGCCCCGGCATCATTCCGGCACCCCAGCCCGCCCTGAAGGAGCACCCCCTCAACCTGTGACCAGCGCCAGCGCAGAACCGAGCCGGAGCTGAGTCGCCATGGTTGGCAGTGGTGGGCGGGCACCCAAACACGGAGCCGATCCGGGCGCAGAGGGAGCGTGACGAGAGCAAAGCCGGGCCAATTGTAGCCGCGGCAGCTTTAGGCCATCTGCGGCCACCCACTCAAGCGGACCTCCCACTGCGGGGGCGTGGCCAGACACTACCACTTGGGGCCCTGAGGAGTGGGAAGATGAGGGGCCCCCCATTTCCCCCAAAAAGACAAAGACTTCGTTTGGGACGGAAGATCTGAGGACTTTATTTCCGGTCACCACCCCACCCCCTCGATTGAAACAGCGATATAAAAAAAATTAGAAACAAAAATCAGGCCGAGATTAGCAACTAAAGCCCCTCCCCCCAAATCACGACACACGATTGATGTTTAATAGGCGTTATCCTGACTCCGGCTGCCCCCTCTGCCCAAGGCTCTAGTCCTCTCAGAAGTCTCCAACAACAGGTGGGAGGGAGGGAGGAGGAGGACCACGGAGAAACCAGTGAGGGAGCTTGGTTCTCAGGTGGGGGAGGAGACTCGGGGTAGGCTGCCATCACCGGCCTTTTCCAGCCTTCTACACGGCCTCATTCAGCCCCCCACACCCAACAACATGGTCAGCAATGTCCAACACTATGGTCCCTGTGGCCTCTCATGCTCATCCCTATAGCCCCTACAAGACTGTCAAATCTTGCTGCCCTCATGCCAAAATCACTTCACTAGGATATAGCTCTTTCCTTTGGCAGATGAGCCTGGCCAGGACCCCCAACCTCCACAGACCCCAGACCCAGAGGGCTTAGAGGCTAGAGGTTTGGGGCTGGGCTGGGGGCGGTTTATCCCACCTCTCACTCGAGGTGGGCAATCAGCACCATCATGACAACTCCTCCCAGCAGCCCCAGCACCTCCAGCAGCGACTGCAACGGTGATGCCTCCCTCAACAGCTCAGGCAACACAGACACCGTTGCTACGTAGATAAAGCCACCTGCAGTGAATGGCAGAATCCAGCCAGGACCTGCACCACCTGCAACTTCACTGCCCACTGTCCCTCCTTCAGTTAGGAGGGCACAGGCTGTGCCCGCCAGTGCTCCTATTGCCGTCAGTAGTTGCAGACACATTGCCTGGTGGGCAGAAAAGAGAGAGGCACTCATCAACATCTAAAGTTTATCAGTGATTTAGATGTGGTTGGTAAGGTATAGGTACATATGGGTATGGTATGTCTTTGGAAACAAGAGTATGGCCAAAAAGGGGGGGTAGGGAGGGTCTAGAATACTTTCTGAAACACCTTAGGTATCAAAAAGGTCCTTTCCTCAGACCTTTTGACTCAGTAATCCAGGGTGGGGATTGTGGTGTGAAAGACCCACATAAACCATTCAGATGGTTTATGGACCACAGTTCAAGAAATACTAAGCACCCTGGCTTATGTGGTTCAGTTGGTTGGAGTGCCGTCCCGTACATGGAATGTTTGCGGCCCTGGCCTGTTTGGTTCAGTGGTTAAAGTGTGGCCTGCGGGTTCAATTTCGGGTCAGGACACATACCTAGGTTGCAGATTCAGTCCCCACTTGGGGCGCATATGAGAGGCAACCAACCAATGTTTCTCTCTTTCTCCCTTCCTCTCTCTAAAATCAAAGAACATATGCTCAGGTAAGGATTAAAAAAAATACCAAGCTATAGGAAAAAGAAACAACTTCCCCCTCATTTCTAGACTTACTGTCAATAACAGTATGGCTTGTTTGAAAGTAAGGAGAGGTAGTCTTGGGTTTGGGGTGGAAGAGTAGGGGGCAAAGGGTTGGAGGCAACCATGTTTGGTGCATGTCATCACCAACCTGCTTTTTGCTGCAGCCAGACTGGACCAAGATGGCGAAGTCCCCGACTTCATGGGGTACTTCATGTAGCAGGACAGTCATTGTGGTCAGGATCCCCAATCCCCAACCCCCTCGAAATGAAGCACCAATGGCCAGACCATCTGTGAAGTTGTGTGCCAGGTCAGCAGCCAGATTCAGGTACCCTGATACACGTAGGTCTTATACAGGAGAAAAGGGAGACAAAACAATTAGATGTTCCATCACCCCCCATTCCAGCCCTGGTCAGTTATTATCACAACTCCCCCCAGGGACCAATTCACACCCAGCCCTGCTGTGATTTCCAGACATCTGCCCTTACCCACAGCACATACTCCATGTGATTATGATGGCACCCCTTGCCCAAGCTTATTACCAACTCTGGACCTCACCTGAACCTGTTTTTTCATCTTCAGAATTCTGAGGTCTCACTGGCCCATCTTTGGGCCCTGTGCCCCCTCCTTTTCGCTTCCTCAACGCCCCTGCTTCTTTTTCTTCTTCCTCTGAGTTCTGTTTCTCCTTTGAAGAATGCTCTGAGGGAGAGAAGGAGTTGGTAAGAGTGGGGAACACAGACCTGATATGTCTTCAAAAGGGAACTCCCCTCCCACCTAGGAGCCATAAGATGAAGGGATTTTAAGGCAAGCAAGGTGGCTTTCAGTAAAGTCATTCCTGGGCTTACCCTGTGTTCCATGTCCATGACTTCCATGAGTGTGACCATGTCCGTGTCCTCCTTTCACGTGTCTCACAAATTTCTCCACCACAAGAAAGGCGACAATTCCACTGAGGACCCACAGTCCCACAGACAGAATGGGGCCCTGGCCTGGGAATGGAAGCATTGAGACATTAAGGGAGATGTGCATTCCAGACTCCTCCTTCTCAAGTGTAGAAGAATGGGGAGGGATAGATCTTCCCCTGCACGCCAATCCCTGTCTCCATCTGCCCCTTCCTCACCACTGTGGGAGTGTCCATGTCCCGGCTGCTCCTGAAGGTGGTGAGAATGAGGTTCTGAAAGAAGGGGGAGAAAAGGCCAGATGAGAGAATACCTGACCCAAGAAGGGTGTATTTGCAGAAATACTGCGAGGTCAGAGATGGCAAAGGGAAAATAACTTTTTTGCCTAAAGAATAAAATATATTAAGATTTGAGGTAGAGACTTGAGGATACGTACCTAGGGCATGAGGGATAAGGTGCAGGAAGGCATCTCCCAGGAGCCCACCAGAAGCAAAACTGAGCAAGATCTGGAGCAGAGAGCGGTGCCGAGGGGAGTTTGACTCCACGGGGATAAGGAAGAGGACGAAAAATGGCGCTGCAGAGATCAGCACCGTGGCCCCCAGTGCCTGGTGAGGGAGAGTCAGGGTCAAGTGTGCCTGCTTTCCCAGCAATCCAGGACCAGCCCCTCTCCCCCATCCCCTGGGGACTCACATAGGCCCAGAGAGTGACAGTGTCCAGGTCCTGCTTGATGCCTGGAACCTCCACAGAGCCTCCATGGCTGTGCTTATGGTCATGTCCATGTCCTCTGTGGTGGAGATTCTCATGGGAGTGGCCATGGCTATGGTCATGATGCAAATCCTCATGTGAATGTCCGTGGTCGTGACCTTGGGTATGTCCATGCCAGATGCTCTCGTGAGTGTGGCCGTGGCCATGGGCGTGGCTGTGTCCATGGTGGAAATCCTCGTGTGAGTGGCTGTGGCCATGGAAGTCCTCGTGCAGGTCCTCGTGCAGGTCGCCATGACCCCCGTGTCCGGCCACTAGCAGCCCCAAGGCCGCCCAGGTCAGCAGTCCCACGGCCACCCAGTGGGGGGCCCCCAGGCCTCTGGCCATCACGCTGACCAGAGGGACAGAAACAGTGATTCCACTTGATCAACTCTGTACCTATGCGGGGTCGGCTTTACTCCGCTCATTCCCTCCATCCACTTCTATGAGCCACTCCCCCATTCCATTCTGCCCCCACCCGCATTGTTCCCAAGACTCGTTCTTTTTATTCCGAACCTGCTCCCGGATGTAGGACCCCGGGACACCGCTCTAAGTTTTGATCATTCCACTTCACAGACTCTCTGGGCCTTCGTCTCTATGACGAGGTGTAGAAAAAGCCTGGAAAGGACAGTAGGGAAAAGCGGGGAATTCTCACCAGCTCCGGGATCCTCTCCTTTCCAGGTTTGCTCCGACGTGGCAATCCCGCCTCTAGCTCCCGCGAGAACATGGAGTTCCGTCTAGTCCCAGTACCTTTACCAATATGGCGGCGCTCCGGCGCGCATGCGCGGATTGGAGGTTATTTGAGGAGAGGGTGGGCGAGGCCGGCTAACAGGCCGGAGACCGCCTCCTCCGTTTTCAACTAGACCAGGGGGCGGGAACTAGCAGGGAAACGTCCCTTCTATACCAAGATGGCTGCCACATCGGCGCTGTCATTTTGGTACAGAGCAGAGCGGAGCGCTTAATTCGATCGGGTTCAGGCCAGAGTCTTTTTCTCTAGGGCTTCTTTGAGCTCAGCTAGCCCCTCAATCAACGCTTGCGAATCTCTGTTACCTCTTCGGTATCCCTATACTCAACCAGGAACCATGTCGTGGGCCGCTCGCCCGCCCTTCCTCCCCCAGCGGCATGCCGCAGGGCAGTGTGGGCCGGTGGGGGTGCGAAAAGAAATGCATTGTGGGGTCGCGTCCCGGTGGCGGCGGCGACGGCCCT